GAAAGGTTCTTGATTAATCTGGCAAAAGCGTTGCCTGTTTCCTGACCTTGCCAGTGTAACGGCAAGTGTGTTGTGGTGCCATCTGTTGCTCTTTCTCTCCAAAGTAGTGGAGATCCTAGTTTTAGCTGTAGAGTATTTCCAAACAATAGCTATTTTGAAGACAGCTTCTCTGGATTATTTTCTGAATAAGCCCTGTGTAACTCTTAGTTAAGTGTTCCCTGCAGTTAATTCTTTGGAGGCAGTATGTAAACTATCAGAATTTGCTGATGCCTAAAGCCATATCTAGAAACAATGACCCAAAATGGAACAAACACCCCACGGAGGGAGCTTCAGCTTTCTGAAGAAGTGTGACTCGAGTCTTTGTGCCAGTTCTTTGTCTGCTTGTAAATGAACCTCTGAAGAAAATTTGTCAATGCTGTATGAGAAAAATGTCAGGAAGCAAAGAACATCCATGTGTGAACCCATTAAATGGTATTTTTTGGAAAGTGCCACACGTCAGGAGATAAAAGCTCAGACTTGCCCAGGTAGGTAAGTTTTGTACCCGAGAACCACAGAGGTGGTTCTTTTTGTCCCACCTCCTATCTTGAAAGCACAACACGTGCGTAACACCTCACCAGAGTTCCCAGCAATTTGTGTGATTTTGCCCGTAACGTTAATCAATTTTCAGTTTTTAATTGGAAGCTAAGCCATTATCTGAGCGCTTGACCACTAATGTTTCACTTTCTCCCTCACAGAATGTGAACGGTATAAAGTACCACGCCAAGAACGGCCACAGAACGCAAATCCGCGTACGCAAACCATTCAAATGTCGCTGTGGAAAGAGTTACAAGACAGCTCAGGGCCTGCGGCACCACACAATCAATTTCCATCCCCCCGTGTCTGCTGAGATTATCAGGAAGATGCAGCAATAACAGGCTGGTCACAAACGTGCCAAGAAATCCTCACCAGCAGTTGCTGATTTTGAGAACAGCCACCTTTTTCAGGGGAAGCATTCAGCAACCCTTTAAAAAAAAAAATAAATGCATGCTTTAAAATTTTCTGTAATTTTGGAATGATGTATCTTTGTAGAGTTAATGATTTTGTACATTTGCACATGTAATCATCATACCCATTTTCATTACTTTGAGATAAGGTGCTATAAAAGCTATAGGTTCTTCAGAACATTTTTCTCCAAAACAAAAACAAATTGGGGGGGGCGTTGCCTATTTAGTTGTACTGAAGGGTTGAAGGGGAGCGAGAGGAGGGGAGAGCTTGGCACTGACGTCCGTTCGAGATTGTAACGTGATGAAGACTTTCAACGCATCTGTCAATGTGTGTGCAAAACCAAAACGAAACCACCCTCGTCAAACTCTAGTTAACATGCCTTACATAATGGAGTTAGCAGTGGAGTAGCAAGTCTTTTAGGTAATGGAAATATAAATAAGAAAGAATGTTTAACATAATATGCTAAAAATATTTTCATACTTAAATAACATACATAAAAAGGTGTGCTTGCTGTATTTTATATTATCTTGCAAATCTTTTTTTTCTCCCTCTTGAAATGCTAAGAATCTTGCCATTTGACCTAGTAAACAATCACTTTAGTGTTAGAAATTACTTTTTTTTTTTGTACAAGATATCATTTTATGTTCATGCCCATCAAACTTTTGAGGACCAATATCCCAGTCCAACTAAATATTTACCCCTGAAATCTCTGTTAGAAAGACATTCGGAAATACTTAAGTGCAAATTTATGTGTGTGTGAGAAACGATTACCTTCATCTCAGATGAAGTTTTAAAGCACTTTGTAGTTCTCTATTGCCAACAGATTTAATGTTTTATGTGTTGCCAATTCTTGCAGCTACTGTACGAGCATGTGCCTGTGGTTGCAAATAAAAATAAGAAATTCTGCGTATGGTTTAAGGAGGTCCATTTTTTGTGCAAAGGGAGTTTCTACTGCCTCTCCCTGACGTTCGTGATATTTTGAGATTTTCTTTGTGCATTTTTGCTTCTCATTGTAGGTCACCGCATTCCAGCTGGAAGCGTCTGTTTAGCTTTAAGGTTAATTTTGCTGAAATGTGATATATGAGCCTTACTGAAGATTTAAGTGCTTCTTGCAGCAGGTGGTCAGAGACTGACTTAAAACAAAAGCCCACGTGAGAGCGCTTCGTATCTGGACCATACCTGAACATTTGTTGCTTACCATCCTGCCTTCAGCGTTCTCTCTCACAAGTGCTATTCTCGGAGGTGGGCACCCCCGGCCCTGCCCCAGCCCCAAAAACACGGTGAGGGAGGAACTCACTGTGTTAAACACAGTTATCGCCTTTGCTTAGTTCCTGTTCTTTTAAGTGCAAAGGAAGGCTCCCATAAAGGAGGAATGAGCTTTCCCTCTATTTTTTTCCCAAAGCTTTAAAGGAAAACTTTGCCAGGATGACAATTACCTTTTCTCCAGCAGAGTAAAAGCCTCGTTAAAACACTTAGGAATCATCCTAGTGAATAAGCCTTTCGACCCAAACACCGCTTTTTCAAATCCTAGCGAGGTGACGGCGCTGGCACGGCCCGCTGCTGCCAGCCGGCATTAAAGGATGATCCAGACACGAGAGTCACCGGTGCACCAAGGGCCCCAGGCGGCCGCTTCCCACCTCTGGCAGTTTTGGCAACAGATCTGGCCAACAAATGCGTTTTGGCTCTGCTCCTAGTGCAAGAAACGACGGGCTGGGTAAGTTCCTTCAACAGCTAAACAGTCGTAAAGCGTCACTGTTGCATGTAAATTCCTTTCAACTATAAAAATGAAATTCCAGTTTCTATTTACCTATTCATTGTGACAGTATTATTAAACAGGTAAAGATGGGACTATTTTGTTATACTGTGTATAGTGAATGTATTGTACTGTGTCTGTGAAAAGTGTGCTTTAAATTATATTTTCATATGTTTTGTTGGGGACAAAGTACTTTAAGTTTGAAAGTGACAGAGGTTTGTTTTAGAACTGAAGGCAACTTAAAAGAATTCCTGTCAAGAAAGCTGCTTATAAATGTAAATCAAATCACACTTAAAATAATAAACTGCCTCTGACCTAAAAAGACTGCTCTTTACTCATTACTCACCTAAAGTGTTAAGTTCTTGGGCTGCAGGTAGTCTTCTGTTTGTGTATTTTACTTCGGTATCATCAAACTCTGTATTCCATAAACACCTGAAGCAACCTAGGCCCTACACCATTAATGCACAAAATTACACAGAATGCTACAGCCTGGAGGGAACACACCCAAACACCCCAAATGAAGTCCAAAGGAGTTCAGCTTTCACAGGCCCTTCTCTTCCAGCATGGCAGCAGGGCTCAGGTTACCGTGAGGGTACAGAGGGTAACACAGGGCAACGTCTGCCGATGGTACAGGAGCCCCCCTGCAAGGGTGGGCTATGGGTTATTACCTTTCTTCCGAAGGTTTTCAGAACTGCACGGGCTATTGCTAGGAAAGGAGAAATCATTAAAGTTTTAATTGAGCCGGGCTGTGGTAGAGGTACTTCCTCAGCTTCTGTCATGCACCCGCAAACTCCCTGGGCAAGTGATTTTATGCAGCCGCGTCAGGGTGGCTCTTTGACTGGGAAACTTTTTAGTAATTCCCTGCGTACACACCCATCCGAGAGAAGTCCCTGCTTCGGCACAGTCGGGTTTTGAGGTTGTCCTGCCCGTGGGGGACGTGGGATACCAACCTGAGATTTCCTAAGTAAGTCTTCAATAATATGGTAACTAATGATATTTTGGTTTTATAGCCTGTTTTAACTGTTTTCACATGCTGTTGAGTTACAGTAAGAAAAGTACTGACAAAATATTCTGCCTTACCTCAGATCATCTCTTGACATGAAGTTCACAGTTTAAAAAAAAAAAATAAAAATCTAAGGCTCAAAATCAAAGACGAGGAGTGATCGGGTAGCCGCTACCCAAGACACGGCCATTTATCTCTGTCACGCAGTTTTTAATAAATCCTGCGCTGAACCGGATATTGCATCTGTTCAGCAGAGCACTGCAGACAACAGCAGCTACTCACACCCTCGACCCCCAAGTCGTCTTCTCAAACTGCGGCGTAAATAGCTGTGAGCAACAGCTGCTTCGTCACACAAAGCTGAAACGTCATTTACTGCAAGTACAGAAAACCAAAACTCTTGTTTTATTTCAAAACGAGCAGCAGGAAGAAAGGACCACTGACTCCATGAATAATTTTGCTTTTAATGTAACAAGACTACTGTACAACAAGTGGAAAGCAAATTTACTTAATACAGTTAAAGTAAATATAAAATATTGATATACACACACGTTTTTACTTACTGAAAAGAAAGACATAAAGTTAAAATGCAGAAGAGGTTTTAAGAGCCCTAAGCCAAAAGGAACACAATTCACTGTTGTGAAAATATAACAATATTTTCTACTGAATAATGCAATTGCAACATAATGGCAGTGATTTATTTTTTTTTTAAAACAATTAGTTTTAGGCATTTAAGCACAGCAGTTTCAACTCCAAAATACTGCCTTAAGGTATAACATACGTACTTTAACATTATCCCTTAAGGCAAACATTCTATATGTAAAACTGAAGTATTTGCCATTCCTTGTGTTGCAAGCATGTAATCTCGCAGTACATGCATCTACATTTCAGAAATACACTAGAAAAGGGTATTTTCATAGGGTCAGTAATGTAACTTTCCGATTTAACTGTTACTGAAAGAAAAACTACACAAATTTGCTAGGAGAAACATCTGATTATTACCTTTTTAATCACACCTCAGTTATCAGGGTCAAGAGAAACCACAGGTGTTTCGGTGACTTTCTTTTCTGAAGAAGAGCATCGTGAAGCTGCTCTCCTTGTTTCTGAGGCCAAGTCACTCCTGTGTCCTTACCGCTCCCACTCAGCAGGGGAATAAACAGCTACGTAGCACAACAGGGTGGGGGGTTGTGGGGCGGTGTTAGTATAATGTTAGGGGGAGAGAGAAGATAACCCCGTAGCAGCTTACGGCCACAACTCGCCACTGCTCCCATGAGAGTACGTTAGCTTTTACTCAGAAGTTTGCACTGTTACAGAAAAGCTGCACTGGTTTGGTGCCGTAGGTGGGACTACTCAAAGTGGTGGTTTTTAAGCTACACTGCAAAACAAAGTACTTAATCGAAATTTAATACGTTCTGATCAAAGTGCGTCTGAACGTGCCTCTCAAACCCTTGCTGATCATAATCGGGCGGGAACTGCTCGCTGCACATGGGGCACACCTTCCAGTGGCTCTCGACGTGCTCCTCAAACTTGCTCTGATCGTAGTTAGGTGGGAACAGCACATCGCAAAGAGGGCACTTCTTGTGCACATCGAAACTTCACGAGGAGGCGGAGAGAAAGAGAACAGCAAAGTTACTTAATCTGTTATTGCACAATAAAACAGAAAGTAGGATCCTCAGCTTTACCGCAAACTTAAATTTGAGCACACTTTGTGTCGAAGCAAGTATCGTAACATTAATGTAAATGTCCTGAAAGTGCTCAATACGGTTAAAGTAGTTTTACACAGGAATTCCAGAAGAACCTGGCATTTTAAAAGCGACATAATTTTGACAGAATTCCAGCGACCACTGAATACAAATCTATTGAATGTCTTAATGGCCAAGCAGTTTCATGGGAAACCACTCTCTCTGCTCATAAATGCTTGCTCTTAGCAAACATAACACTTTATAAAAGCTCTAAACTTAGGTTCACAATTAGGTTGGAAGGAGAGGGGAAAAAACCCAAAAGTTATTCATTCATTTACTAAAATAATTGTCCAAACTCTATCAAAATAAGGTATAGCACAAACAGTCTACCCAGCCTCACAGCATATCCTGTGATAGTTAATTGTAAACCAAACAGTCATTGAAAATGCTTTATAGTTTTTCATCTCCACCCCCAATCCTTGAGTAAAAAAAAAATCCAGTTATATAAAAATGTATCCATGCCATTGATGACCCATAAAAGATAACATTTACCTGGAATCAAAGCAGAAACCCGTTCCACGTTCATGCAAGAGAAGACTCGGAGGCTCAGGAGCAGAAGGTACAGTGTTGTCATCATCCTATTAAAAAAAGGAAAGTATTTTAAATAATACCCACAAGAAACAGCTTTTTTTTCCCCTCCCTCCTCCATATACATTTTTGTTACCAAGCATAAACATGGATGAAATTTATCTTTCACTTTATATATTCTCTGCAGCATTAAGTTTTACTTTAGCGTACAAACAGGAGAGATGGTTAATGAAGACGAAAAGCTGAACACAGGCCGCCTTTTGACCATGTGCCTACAGCAGAAATCTCTGCCAGCGGTGCCAGAATGCCTCCACCACCACAGTAACTCGGGAAACGCAGGTCGCCTCGCTCTTAACGCCTGGGGGCTACGCCGGAACAGAAAGACCTGTGTTAAGCTGAACGCACGGCATCACACTACAAACCGTAAGAGCGTTTTATCGAGAGCTAAAACTCAAAAATAAATTCTGGACAACAGAACGTCTAGTTAGACTTTAAAAATCTGTCAAATTTCAGCAAGGGGAAAGAAGACACTGATTTCGATTCACATGCTTGCCTCCCAACGGTCAGTTTTGAGTGATGGGCCTACGCCGCTCTCACCAGCCAAACACGTCAGACGTGTCACACTGCCGTCAGGCGCAGCAGCTAAACAGCCACGTTCGGCTGCTGCTTCTCATCAGCCCTGTCCCTTGTGCTCTGCCTCCACGGACGCTAACAGCACATAAATAGCTGCAGCGGGCACTGATGAGGATGGCTCATCCAAAAACCGATGGACAAGCAGGTCTGGCTCCGAGCCGTGATGGGGTCAGGAAGGCAGGGCGGCCTCTAGGGTCCGGCCCTGCATGCTGGGAGTTCCCTTCCGGCAAGCAAGGGGGTCTGAGCACTCAGGTTTTGCAAGTTTTAGGGTTGTTTTTTTAATTCTGTGATGACATTTTTACAAATTAAGATTTACGTAAATACAGTGATGTAAGCCAACACAATTAGGGGAAGAAAACAGCACAGAAAGAAAATAAACTGAAGGAGTAAGAAGAAAATCAGAACTGTGTTTGTAAACCCGCTCCAAACTATTTCTTATACAGCATCTTGGTTCTGTTCTGCCAGTAGATAACGCAGCACAAGACCTACTCATTTCCAGGTGGGAACACAGGTATATTCAGCAAGATTTTTGCAACTCCAACTCCTAGATCATTTTCCTTTTCATCTCAAAGAGGCCTTACATGTAAGAATTATGAATTATTCAGCTGATCTTCAAAAATGGATGTGCAAGGGCCCACAGGTAACAGCATATATGCTGTATGTTTTAATTAATACGTATATTCAAACGTATTTCACTTTTAGGCTAACGTACTTTGCCCTTATGAAGAGTTAATGGAAACAGGGCAGGATGGGAAGATTCCCTCAATATTCTTCTTCTCCTGACAACAGCTGTTTAGTTTCAACCATTTAACATTTCCATTAAGCAGACAGTGGGGCTTGCTGTGACAGATGCTAACAACAGACGTATTTTCCGGTCTAACTTGCTTGCTTTGCACCTGCAGTAAAAAGGGCATATGGGTTTTAAAATATTCTTTGTTCCTTTTGTGAGGAAAGAGAGAGGATGATTGTATTCGAGAAAAAAAACTATTTAAAGTACTCTTTAAAGGACAGAAGACCTCAGAGGAGCCTTCCAGTACCTAAAGGGGCCTACAAGAAAGCTGGGGAGGGACTTTTTACAAGGACCTGTAGTGACAGGACAAGGGGCAATGGCTTTAAACTGGAAGAGGGAAGATTTAGATTAGACGTAAGGAAGAAATTCTTCACAGTGAGGCATGGGAACAGGTTGCCCCGAGAAGCTGTGGATGCCCCACCCCTGGAAGTGTTCAAGGCCGGGTTGGATGGGGCTTTGAGCAACCTGGTCTGGTGGAAGGTGTCCCTGCCCGTGGCAGGGGGGTTGGAACGAGGTGATCTTTAAGGTCCCTTACAACCCAAACCATTCTATGATTGTGCCACAATGCTACAGCTTATATAGCTCCAAAAACCATGACAAATTTGCTGAATACCAGACTGTACGCAGAGCAGGACTTATCTGAGAAAATGAAGGTGCATCTTCCTTGAAAAAAATAGTTCCCCCACAAACACAGGGCTAATTAACATTTAAATCCTTAGAAAATACTTTCTTATAATTCTTTCCTGTTTGTCACTCACTTAGTTCTTGAACACAGGGCATTTTTGTCAAGGCACTTACTAATACCCGGTTACAAATGACGAGGTGGATGAGGTCCTTCTCTGGTGAAAGGGCTCTTCAGTCTCAAATCCTTAAGTAAGCTTTCTTTAGGACAGATTAGCAGACCCAATGACAAATGCACAGGTTATTCATTACATTAAGGGCTATTAATTTTAGTTGAGTAAGGAGCCAGGATTTACCAATGCTAAATATTAACTTGGTACATAAGGGCAATAACCTAAATTATGTGGCTAACGTGATACGGATGGGTCTCTTTTCCCATTCAAAATTATTAATGCATTCAACAAACCCCAACTTTTAGAAAGGGTCTTTACACAGGCCTGAAAAAACCCACTGACCTGAATGCCCAACCGTAACAGAACACAGAACTCATCATTCCTGACGTAATCCATCTTCCATACAAATGTCAGAATACCACTGAAATTTTAGTTTCCCTATTACAAAAGGAAACCTCTCAGTCTTTAACGCATACATTACACGAAGATTAAAATGTACTGAGTGGCAAATGAAGTATGTTCATACAATGCATTATTCAAGTAGAAGTGATCTTACCAATGCCCTCCACCCGTTTATATTAGCTGTGTCAGCAGCAGACTGCTTTAGCACCAGCTTCCCCACGTGTATGCTGCTGCTCTACTACCACAATCCGTGGGAAACCAAAGATTTTAATTAGAATCCACACAACGCAAATGGATTTATTCAAAGAGCTGCGATTAAAAAATGTATTTTAAAAAACTGGCACTGCTTGTCCACCTTATATAAAGTTTTAATAGGTTAATAGGTTGGGTGGGGTTTTTTAGTTTGTTTTGGGTGGATTATTCGCATTATTCTAGTTAATTTAGTTATTTCTTCAGTATTTTGCCCCCCTCCCTTTTTTTTTTTAGATATGTGGGTTACTACTTATCACTTGCTAAGATAAAATTGCTTACATCTTTTGTTAGATCTTTCAGCTTCTGGCAGGCGCGATACCCTACCATGTACAAATACAGCATTACTCCCCATTCCTTTATGAGGAACTGATTTGAAAAAGAGTATGATGCTTTCCTCTACACGGGCACACGCGCACTAGCCTGCATTGCTGATTTGTAGGCACTAGCTTCAATAAGAGGCAAGCGCAAGTTACTAACAGTTTTTAAAAAAGGGTTTTCTGATATCAAAGTAACATTAAGTTTGGAATACCCTCAAGATACAGCTTTCTCATGACCCAGTTCAATTAGTTGTAAAAATCATACTGCGGGTTCCTTTTATTAGCTTCTGACCTGTGCACGATGTAAGAATGACAACACTAAATATGTACAGATATTACACCGTTAAGATACGGAAAGTCTGTCTCTTCAGTGTAGTTTTGCTCTTGGCCAGGTAAACAAAGATCTGTTCTCAACAATTTGTTATGCTTAACCCAAACAAGAAGAACTCAAATCTACGTTGAGCGTACCTCTAAGTGCATCCTACAGACATTACTGTACAATTAGAGAATGGTCAAACAGTAACAGTGAGAACTTTATCTTAGGCTGAGGGTATTTCACAGCTATTCTAATTAAAAGTTCAAATAAACAGTACACAATAACCAAGAACTAAAAATTCTCATGCACTGCCCTGGGGTAACTTGGAACTTCTTGCAAACACAGAAAGTGTCCCTACTGGGCTCCAACAGCTGTACTGCTGTCATTTCAGATGGACAAAACGCCTAAAATGCACTCTGTAAGACAGAGAATTATATGAAGGGAGGACGGCTCTTACTCATCTTGGTTCACAATCAGTTAGTGCCCAGTTTCTTCCGGCCAGTATAACCAATGATACATTCTTTATTCTTATAAATATTGTTACATATGCTTTTCAACCTGATGTTTAAAAACTAGTCACTCTCCCATGGTAAAAATAAACCATCCCCTGCAGACTCAAAAGCCAAAATGAGAACGCTAGCTGAAGCTGAAGGTGCTTTACAGAAAGAGTTTGACAATAACTGCCGGGATGCCAGGCCTCAGTAGCTCAGCCTATGCTGTGTTTTAAGCATAGGCATCAGCTTACTCTCAAGACCTCACGGTTCAGTCATCCAAGTTATTTGGACAGAAGCCCATACTCGGTATTTTGAGAAAGAGGCAGTTTCATCTGCCCTTTGTGTAGACCCAGAGCCAGCTTTCTTGCACTCCAGACTGATGACTAGGGAGATGGCTGCACACACATAACGCAAGACCTCTACAGTGCCCTGCAGTGATCTAACACTGTTGATGTGTTGCCTCGGGTCCTCACAAAAAGAGTGTGATATCATGTACCCACAGGCTGGCACTATGGTTATGTAGCATAACACGTGCCAGGCCTTCTGAATTCAGAAGTTTGGATAATTAGGTTAATGAATTATGAAGGATGCCTTTAACATCATGACTTAATTATTATCACTGGACTGTAATCTGACTCTTTAAATTGCCACAATGAGTACCACATATTATATGAATCATAACGATAAATATAGTATTGCACAATAAAGCATGGTAAAAAAGAGGGAGTTTGTCACTAGAAGAAGGAGAAGGGAAAGCCAGACGTTAACTGTCAGAAATAAGAACAACTCACCTAGTTTTACCAAAAATAACCAATTTGGGCTCAAATACTGCTTTCATAATTACAACTGTAAGCAGTTCCAAGACTGCCAAACAGAAATTCAAAACAAAGCCATGTGACACTGTACAAAACACACAGACTTGAACCATCCCCATCTCCAATTTCTACAGATCATCTTAACATACAACGGTAAGCGAACCAATACCCATCTTCGGCTTTAAACAATAAATGGACACGCTGCTAACATATAGTGCAGGTAAACTGGAAGGAAGAGTATATACATTTTCTCTCTGTGACTCAGCTCTGCTGCGGGAGTGAAACCAAACAAACTCTTTTAGGTCTCTCTACCTCTCTGCAAGCAGTCTGGTCTCCCAAGAGGTACCTGGATACCTACTGCTCCTTTTATGTCTATCCCATACAAAAGATAGTAACTGACTGCCAGGGTAAGATCAGGCTAATAAAGTGTAGTGGGTTTGGGGTTTTTTTTTTGCCAAAAGAAAGGTCATTTTGGATTCACCTCAAAAAAATATCCTGACCTGGTTGTCAGTTGCCAAAAGTTACACTCTCCATCCCCCACAAATTTACTGTGACTAACAACATTGTTTAAGAGTCTTGGCACAGTTATTCTAGGCTTACTGCCAACTGTAACCAGGACTACATTTCTAGAACTCACACTTTAGTATTAA